TCCTTCCTTCCTTCCTTCCTTCCTTCCTTCCTTCCTTCCTTCCTTCCTTCCTCCCTCCCTCCCTCTCTCCCTCCCCCCTTCTCTCTCTCTTTCTATTTAATTTTTTGAGACAGGGTTTCTCTGTGTAGCCCTGGCTGTTCTGGAACTCACTCTATAGACCAGGCTAGTCTCGACACTCAGGGATCCGCCCGCCTCTGCCTTGCCAGTGCAAGAGTTTTTAACTTTTAACCTTGTAACATGCTCTCTGTAAGCTATGAAGAGGGAGAGAAGACGTTTATTAGAAACCTTCAGTTTACTTTCCTTCTACTTAGACAGTCAGAATGGTTAAACAGCTCAGCTCATGCCATTTTTGTCCTGTACTTGGAAAATTCCAGTCCTACTAGAAAACTACAAAACTATCATTCAGATGCTGGTAAGTTGTTAATAATTGCTATCACAAGGTTTTTCTCTCCCTGTAAACTAATCATTTAAAAAATTATTTAGTTGTAGTGGATAGGGTAGGGTAGGATAGGGTAGGATAGCATGGCATAGCAAAACAACACAGCACAGTATTTAGCTGTAGTATGTGTGTGCACACACATATATGCCATGATATGTGTAGGGGTCAGAGGATAACTCTGCGGAGTCAATTCTCTCTATCTACTTTCACGTGGATTCTGAGGTTTAAACTCAGGTCATCAGATATACATGGCAAGTGCTTTTACCCCTTAAGCCATCTTACCAGCCCTAAACCAATCTTTTTATCCAATGAACATTTATTTTCTTAACTAAAAGAACATGATTTGAGGCTAGTTGTTACAAATTCAATAATAGGTACTATTATATTTTGACCCATGGTAAGTAATAGGTTTTCTTTGCTGACCAAATGAGCCAATTCAAGTCTGATTAAAGCATAAAAGCAGGTTTATTGGATGTAGCTCTTGGGTGGGATCACTGGTCCCAACGAACAGAGCCAGGGAAATCTCCATGGGGAGGAGACAGAGAGGAAGGGGAAGAGAAAGAGAATGTATATGTAGAGAGAAAATGCAGAGAGAGCGAGGGAACCAAAACGTCAGACCCAACCTGCAATGGGTAGGTACTGAGAGCTGCTGGAAGAACCTGGAGGCCAGGTCTGCTTTGGTATGTTAAAAATGCACCTCAGCCACTTGTCCTAGGTCTGAAAACCAACAATAAGTCCAGCAACAGATACCAAAGTAAACAAAAATGCTGGGCAGAATTCAGTTCGACCAAAGGCATATGTATGAAAAGATACGCTGGTTTAAGCTTTAAACCTAGAACCCCAGTTTATAACTTTCCAGAGATCCTACAAGTAGTCTTACTTAAATTTAATTACTTAAATTATGATTATGCTACAAAAAGCTACAAGCTCTGTGCTACAGTTCTGTCTATTATTAATTGTCCTTTATAGTTTACTCATGTTAATTTGGGCTCTCTAGGAAACATGGCAAGTTAGGACCCAAACTGAAAGTGTTTTCTTGGGAGAAACATCAAGGTAGGGGGTTGAGCTGTAGGGGTCTCTGCGATCTCCAAGGGTAGCAGAGTGGTGATTGATCATGGGAGGACACACAGAAAAGATGCTTCAGGTGAGCCCAGTGGATCCAAGAGCCATGGGGCAGAAGCTGTTATCAAGATCTGAACAGGATCTTCTACCCCCAGCTTTTCTATGCCTTAATTTTATGTCTCACTGACTAATAGACATTTCATCCCACCCACCCAAACTATTACTGTATTTAACTAACGGTTCCTTAATGTATCCATATAAAAGCATTTTAATTCAAATATTTCACATTTTGGTTTTCTTAATCATTCCCCCGGAAGCCTAGTAATTTGGGAAAAAATACATTCAAGGTTAAGAATAGTGAATACAATGAAAACTATGTTATGCTCTGTAACAAATGGCACACGTGCTGAAGCTGCCCTTGGACACCTATGAGGGTACTTCTGAATGAAGTTATCTTTTTGCTTTTTTTCCCCCAGGGGTAGCCTCTATGTTGCCCAGGATGTTTTCAAACTCACTTTCAGGGCTAGCAAGATGGCTCTGTGGCTAAAGGCACTTGTTGGCACGCCTGATGACCTGAGTCTGATCTCAGGGATCTACACAGTGGAGAACCTACTAGAACCTACTCCTGTTCTAAAGTTCTCACCATGTCTTTATGCACACACACACACACACACACAGTGGTTCTGTTTCTCTCAGGAACTCTAATAGCTATGTATTCCTTTATTTAATCTACTCAACTGTCCTGTCAACTACTATTACCTTCAATTTACACAGAAGGACACAGAAGCACGAGGGCATTTAATAATGTCTTCAGGGCTACACAGACATCAAGAGGTGGGGCCGGGCTGAATTTAAGCCTTTTGGCTCTAACGTAATTATTTTGTATTGTTACTGCGGCCTTCATGAACCCTGCTGTATTACTTAACCTACATTTTAAAAGCCACCACAGGGCCAGCGAGGTGGCTTACTGGGGAGGAAGACTCCCTGCACAGCTTCATGACCTCAGTTCTTGATTCCTGGGACCTACGCCGGAAGGCGAGAACTCCCACAGTTGTCCTCTGACCTCCATACACATCAATCGCTCTTTCTCACACATGCTCATGAAAACAGACATGCATACATACATGCATACACACAGACACACCACACGCATGCAGACACACATGCAAGCATACACACATACAGACACATACATACAGACACACAGAGACACACACACGTTTTTTAAAGCAACTATTCCAGTGTCTTAACTTGGTTTCTGTTTCATTAATACAACACTGATTAGAAGCCACTGGGGGAGGCAGTTGATTTCATCTCGGATTACAGTCTACCATGAAGGGAATCAAAGCAAAGTGAAGCAGAGGAAAGCAGTTCAGTGGCTTCCTCTCTCTGACTAGTTCAACCTGCTTTTGTATACAGCCTGGGACCACCTGCCAACGGTGCCCTGCCCGCAGCAGACTGGGCCCTCCCACATCAGTCATTAATCAAGAACATGTTCCACAGACTTGCCCACAGGCCAGTCCAACAGAAGCATTTTATTAACTGAGGTTCAGACTTCCACTATGACTCTAGCTTATGTAAATTTGACTGAAACCAGCCCGCACACCTACTCGCAGCAACAGTCATGTGGAAGTCACCTTCCTGGGGCTGGGACGATGGCTTTGTGGCTGACAGAGAGTACTGATTTTGTCCAGGACCTAAATGTGTTTCCCAGCACCCAGGTCAGGAGGTTCACCACAGCCTGCAACTCCAGCTCCAGGAAACCTGACACCCTCTTCTGGCTTCTGAGGTCAACTGCACTTATGTGCACGCACGCACGAACACACACAGATATATATATAAAACACATCTTGGGGAGGGAGAGATGGCTCAGAGGTTTAGAGCACTTGTTGCTCTTGTAGAGGACCTGGATTCAGGTCCCAGAACCCACAGTTCCGGTTCCAGGGGAATCTGATGCCTTCTTCTGTCCTTCATGGGCACCACATACAAACTTACATGCAGAAAAAAAAAAAAACACTCATAAAGTAAAATAATACACCTAAAGAAAACCTTTAAATCTTTTATTTACATGTGCATTTCATAAGCAACTGATTACATATAGAAAGATCATGGCAAAGGCTTGCGCTCTCACCACACTCTCTCTACTCAAACACGTAACACATGCTAACAGGAAAGAGTTTCCACTTTCCTAGTCTAGAGCAGCATGTGCTCTTCAAAGCTACGTATGATGGAAATCACATGACTTAAAGGATGCAGAAGAAGAGAACAGTGCGAAGTAAGGAATTCAGGAAGAGGTCTGCAGCCGAAGATCGTGTGACTTAGAAGTCAATGCAGCGTCCTTTCCGTTCCCAGTCTCCATACCGGGTGGGCTCTGGGCCCCTGGGTCCACCTTTCTCTTTGGTAACTGGATTAACATCATCTGGAAACTCTAAGGGAGACAAAAGATACAGACAAGGCAAAGACAGAAGAAAACAGCATGGTCAGTTTTGAGGACAGGGTTGCACAAGCTTGGTGTGAGTGCCCGGGTTATCGGACAAATGAACCATAAATATGGTTTTCCCCCTTCCACCCCCGTTCAATCGACTCCAGTGCCGACACCTATGACTTCTGATTCTCAGGGTGCTTTCAGGCCTAGAAACTGCTGCAGAGTAGTTTCCTATGTGGTGCTGGCTGGGCCCAACAGGAGGGAAGGGGGGAGAACGGAGCCCAGCTTCACTGAACTTGGAAGGTTTAGAAACAAGATCCACGTCTCCATTTTCTTCCAATAAGAGGTGTGGGTTGTGTGCCTTATAGTGTGGAGCTGAGCAAGGTCATGTATGTACAGGTGTTGACCGAATTCATCTGTGAGCACGACTGCTCCTTAACAGGCATTCGGCTTCGGCAGATGGTTTTGGGAGGATAAGGTGCAGTCATCGGACCTAATACTTTGTGTTCATGGGCTGGGGATACAGTTCAGTAACAGAGTGCTTGTTTCAGCATCAATGAAGTTCCTTCTCCAGTGTAACACTCACAGGTATACATGCACACACACATTTACACACTCATACACACAGACATGCACATACACGCACACATATACACACACACAGAGACCCTTAGTATACGCCAACATATAAACACATAAAACCTTTACTACGTACACTCACGCACATGCACACATACACAAATATATATGGACACACTGAGACCTCACTACACTCACCAACATATACACATATAAAACCCTTACTACACACATGTACACACGTGCACAATAACACATACACACATATACAATGAGACCCCTATCACACAAATCAGCATATACACACATAAAACCCTTACTACACACACACAAATGCACTGCATATTCCTAATGAGACTCCTCACTGTTGAGTCAAGCCAAATTCTGAGAATTTTATCTGTCTGTCTGTCTGTCTGTCTGTCTATTGACACGGGGTTTCTCTGTATAACTGTGGCTGTCCTGGAACTCTGGACACCAGGCTAGCTTTGAACGCAGAGATCTGCCTGCCTCTGCCTCCCAAGTGCTGGGCTTAAAAGTACACACCACCACACCTGGAGAGGATTGTAATTTATAGCTACTCAGCCAAGTTGATTTTATTTCCATTTGACGTTAGGTATCACTACTGTTGCTCAGGTTGGTGTTCAATGCTGAGGCCAAATCATCCTTCTGTTATAACCCAATTCTGGGCCTTCAATTTTCAGCACTTTATACATTTCAATTTCCTTAGTCTGCATAATAATCCCGAGACCAGGGGCTGGAGAGATGGCCCAGAGGCTAAGAACACTGGCTGTTCTTCCAGAGGTTCTGAGTTCAATTCCCAGCAACCACATGGTGGCTCACACCACCTGTAACGAGAGAAGATGCCCTCCTCTGGGGTGCAGGCATACATTCAGGCAGAACACACTGCAAGCATAATAAATAAATACATCTTAAAAAATGTAATCCTATGAGACAGGAAACGATACTGGCCCGTGTTACAGGTTCACAAAGCCGTTCAGTGTCACACAGCGACCGAATGAGATGGCGCCTGAACGGCAACCCACATCACAGGCATGTGTCTTCCTAGCACTGACATCACTGGCATGCATCTTCCTAGTGCTGACATCACAGGCATGCACCATCTTGTCAAATTTATGTGCTTGGAATGAAGCTGGGGCTCCCTGCCTGTGAAGCCAGCATTCTTCCCATGAGTTACCCTCATTTCCAAAACTTTAGAGCTTCCCTCACTGACCATGCTCAGATTTAAATGCTATTTTAATTACAATTATTGCTTGTGTGTGTATGTGTGTGCTGATGTGAGTGTTGAGGTCAGAGGACAATATCAGGAACTGGTTCTCTTTTTCCAGTACAGTCCCTGGAACTCAATTCCCAGGCCTGGTGGTAAGCATCTTTATCTGTTGTGCCATCTTGCTGGGCCCTACTCTCAGATTTGACATGAAAAAGCTTGACATTCTATTAACCTACCAATTTTACTTTGTGCTGAGGCCAAAGAGGCCAATTAGCTGTGCCTGCCATGAGCCGTGCTCTGCGGTCTCTCCGTATGGCCATACCCTTCCCTCTCTTAAACATCTCCTCAGCGCATCTCCTTGTCATGATTTTATTTTTCCTTTAAATTTCATTGCCTCACTCTTTTCTGATCTTTTTAGTTTGCTATGCTAATTACCACCAGATGTTCGTGGATAGCTATGTTTCTTGTCATCCACTTACCTTATTTATTTATTATTTATTTACTATCATGAGACAGAGTCTGGCAATGTGTCCTGTACTGACCTAATGATCACTGTCCTACTGTGGCAGTCTCCTGGGTGCTTGATTCCATGTTTAAGGCATCTTGCCTGGCCATTTTATTGTTTTAGTTGGGAAATAAATGCTCTGCAACAGGACAGCCTAAAAATTTTCCTTAGGATGAAAAATGGCAGGAAACCAAGACTTGAAGGAAAAAAGTTAGACAAGTTAAGAAGGGAGAATCAATAGGACTTGGTTTTTAAGTGGCTACAGGAAACAGTGAGGAATACATGAAGAATTACCCTGGATGTCAGGCTTGTGTGATTTGGTGGATGGAGTTTACTGGGCAGCAGAAGGAAAAGCGGGGGGGGGGGGGGGGGGGTTGGGGGGGGGGGGGGGGGAAGGGGGGGGGGGGGGGGTGCAGCATCAAGCTGCTGGAGGAATGAAGGTGAGGGGATGCTATGGGGACAGAGTAGGTTTAGTCTAAGAAATGGTGATTTTGAGATGTTTGCACAGATCAAACAGGACGCTGAGAAGCATGTGTGAGATATTTAAAGCCATCTGAGGAAGACATGGGGGTCTTCTGAGGAATGCTTAGCGCAGGTGTGGATGGAGGCCTAACAAAAGCACATTTAGGTATTGCGTGGAAACAAAGGAGTTTGAAAACAACCCAGGAAGTGGCAGAAGCCATAGCTGACACTCTCTAAAGTCGGTGATTATTCAAGGATGCCTGGAAGGTATCTGACGCTGGGTGTTCGCCCTTTTTTAAGGACTGGTGGTTTGGATGGGATCACCAGGCACTAATACATGAAGATTAGTGACACACACTGCAGCTCGTCCACACAGGCACTTCCATCTTCTGACTTCTACCTAACTGGTGAGATTTACAAGTCCATGCTGAAGCCCAGATGCCAGCGCTTCGCTTTCAGTGCTTCAGCCCCCAGAACTATGAGCCAAAATGAACCTGTTTCCTGTTTTTGATTTGCCCGTTTCTGTAAGTAGCCTCCGGTGATAGTTAATTTCAACTGTCAAGACGTAAAGTGACCCAGGACACACATCTCTGGGTGTTTCTAAGAGAGTGCGCTTTCAGAAGAGAAGTAGAGATCCACCCCGTACCACGGTTTAGATCCTGAAAAGGAAAAAGCAAGCTGACTACCTGCATTTGCCTCTCTCTGCTTCCGGACAACAGACAGGATGCGACTGTCACCTCACACTCCTGTCACCGTGCCTTCCTGCCATGATGGGCTGCACCCTCCTGCGAGCCAAAATAAACCCTGCCTCCCCTTAGCTGCTATGTCAAGAAATTTTGTCATAGCGATAAGAAAAAGCGACCAATTTATCCCTTTCTCATGCTCCTGTCAGTAATCTCAATAAATTCAATGACTCACCGATTAGACAGGATCATTTCTTTGATCTACTAGTGCCCTATCTGGGATGAGTTGATTTTTTTAAATGTCTCCTCATGAAAAGTATTGGGTAACACAATCAAAATGAGAACAACAGGGCTGGAGCGATGGCTCAGAGAACCAGAATTTGGATCCCAGCATCAGTGCAGGGCACCCAATACTGCTGTAACTCCAGTTCCAGGGAATCCAACGATTCTGGCTGCATGCACACAGCCACACACAGAGAGCGACATACATACATATATGCACAATCAAAGTCATAAAATTAAAAAATAAGAAAAACATCAATAAGATATGTTCAGTCTATTACCATCCTTAAAGCTCTTTATTATTTTTGTTGTTGCCTTCGGTTTTTGGTTTCTTGAGACAGGGTCTCTCAGGGTAGCCCTGTCTGTCCTGGAACTCACGCTAGACCATGTTGGCCTCAAACTACCCCTTCTCTGTCCTTAGCCACAGCTTTATAGTGAGAATAATCATGTTTAGGCATTTCCCACCTAAGCGGCTCTTGTGGATATATTTGTTTTAATCCCAGGTGTGGGATGTGGGACTGATTCAGATGGTCCACAGCAGCAAACTATTTGCCTCATGTGGGCTCTGAGAGGAGCTCTTTGCCCGCTGCAGATAATTTAAATCTGAGGACTCTGGAGAGAGAATAAATGCCAGAGCCCAGAGAGTGTGGAGCTCAGAGAAAGAACAAGGCTGCTGCTGCTGCTCCCCCGGCCCCGTGACCTGTTGCTGTTGATGCAGTGAGACAGGAAGTTGGAGAGCTCCTGAAACAAGGATTGGACTGACTCCAAGGAACCCAATGATCCTAAACAGCAGGACGCAGCTAAAAGAACTTCACCCCCTCTCCTAAGAACCCTTTCTCTCTCCTACCTAGTATTGGGGTGGAGTAGGAAAAAGAGATATAAGAAATGTAAATAAAAGAGCTTTAAAGTATGCCAATAAATGGCTATTCTGAGGGGTGCAGCTCTGGACATCTGAGCGGAGCCTGCCTACAGGCTTTCTCCTCAAGGGGCTTATGATCAGAGGTGAGAGTCTAGTCCCAGAGTGGCTGTTCTCCTGGACTGACAGCTGCCAAGAGATGCTCCGTACTGTCCAGTGGGCAGACGACAGGGAGCGATGAAGGAAGGGTACTAGAGTTAAAGAATGAGAGATGCCTCCCATCAATATGCAGTTCCCAGTCGTTTCCTAAGACCAGCATCTTCACTGGGCCTTGATGCCTTGGTTTTACCCTGTACGTTAATGACGATCTATAGCAGCTGATTTTTTTTTTTAACAGCAGAAATTGTTTTCAATAAATGCAGCTTTGTTATTTGTATCAAAGAAGAGCTCAACTTATATGTCTTGCCTTTTGAATAGTGAAAGCATAGTAAAAACAATCCCAAACCACCAAATAAGTACTAAGCCCTTATAATCCCTTTCTTTGACGTTGTCTATGCTGCTCAGGGTGGCCTCACATTCCTCTGGCATTAGCTGGTATTCCAGACATGTGCCACCATTTCTAGCTCTAGAAACACCATGTTGGGGTGTTACATATATATGTGCGTATGTACCCGGGTATGCCCATTCGATGTATGTATGCTCTTGTGTGCGTCACCCATGCACTCGTGTGAATGTGCACGTAGAGCTCGGGGACTGACTTCAGGTATCTCCCTTGATTGCCCTCCACCTTCCATACTGCAGCAAAGTCTTTTATGAGAGCCCAGTGGTCGTCCATTTAGCTAGTCTAGGTAGCCAACCTGCCCCAGGGATCCCTCGTGTCTTCCAAGTGTGGACCTCTGCCCCTCATGCATGCCCTGAAAATATGTCACGCACTGAAGCATCTCACCAACCCAAAGCCTCTTTAGAAAAGTAACAATATGGTATTATTACTCACTGAAACATCCTTTATAACCACTGATAACAGCTATGAGCACATTTCACTCCTTTCACCTTGTGCAGTAAAGAACGCTGACTCTGCCAAGTTAAGCACCGACAGTGGTTTGCTCTTACTCACTCTTTAGCGGCTCGCTCTCCAAGCGTGAATCCTCCGGTGTGTCAAAATGACCCACTGGCAGCTTTGACTTCTTAAGGGTTTGCTTCACAGGTTCGGGCTTTCCTTCTTGATAACTCACTGTTCTCAAAGAATGATTCAGAAGGGATGATGGTACTGGAGCAAGAAGTGGAAATGGCATACAGTGAAAAATCTTCCCTGCATACCTACATTCTACACAGCCAGCCCCTTCCTTAGATATAACCAAAGACACAAGTTTTCAAAGAAGAGCTGTAAAGTAGCCAGGCAGGCAAGTATAGGGAATAGTTTAATAGCCTAGGGCTCCGCTTGGTTTAGAATATGAATACGGTTCTTTTCTAATAATGCACTTGGAAACCTAATTCCCTTACATGTACATACTATGCACATACACCTCTCTCCAAGAGATGTGCCTAGCAACCTTGTAGCGACCTAACACTCCCCAACAGCACCAGGATGCATACACATCCTTTTCTGAACAATGGGATTTTTCTCCTCTCTCAACAACACACGTAGACAGATTCCATTCAGTTGCACTCTCCTCATGTTCCAATACAGGACCAGAAAGGCCCACCAGCCCACCCAAACCACTGGGTTTGGGTGCTTAACAAGGTAAACTGAGCCCTCAGGGTGATTTTTTAAAATTCTTCTATTATTTTATGCTGATTTTGACGGGCATATGATTGAAGCCAGATGCATTATGAAGAAGGAACTTAAACAGAAATGATTATGTTGCCTAATATATCACTCAAAATGAGAACCACCCAAACTGCACACCTTAGTAACCAGCCTCCTCTTCCCTGTGCACCCCTTGAAAGAGATCCTGGGCAACAGAAGGATCTGGGCCTTCTTCATTGTGGCCTCCTGCTCTCTTGTAGTGTAAGCATTTAAATAAATTTTCTTTGTTACTTTACAATCGGTGTGGGCTTCTTATTTCGATTCCTTGAATAAGGAAGCGCCTGGCTTGCCCAACCCTGACAGCAGAATCAATAAACCTAAAGCCTCCTTTAGGTAGTTGCTCACATCTTGTGCCAGGCTATGGGGAACACACACCAGAAGGTATAGCAGCCTAGGCTGGAGCTTCTAGAATTTCCCAAGCGTCCATGAGGAGAATGAAAATGTATTATCCACAGCTGAAAGACAGCACCTCACAATTCAGTGTGGAGTGATCTTAAAATATGATTAGTTGAAAAAAAGCAATAAATACATTTCCAGCAAATCAAATAATTTCCATAAAGAAAACAGCATACAGGCATTTACTGGAAATGGTCGATTGAATTGGAAAATGAGTTCATTAATCTTTTTCTTAAATGTTTTTGTTTAACAATAGTGGAATACTGGATAATCACTAATAAGGTTTTGGAGCAAGCCTTTCAGTTTCCACAATTTTCACTGTACAGATCATTTAAGATTTTTAACAGCCAACAGCTATCAAGCATTTGAAAGGAAAAACTAAAAAGTAAAATAAAAATCTGGCCATTTGTTATAAAACCAATAATTCTTCAGTTTACATAATTTCTCAGGGATGTCATCAATTAAACTTAAATTCTGCATGCTCTTTGGGTTGATAATTTAGGCACACTGAGAAAGAATGTAACTACTTTTGTTAACTATAGTTTCTACAGAAAGCAAGAAGGCATCTCTTCTAACAGTTCGTGGCTTCGTGTAATTTTCATTCTATGTTCTTACCTGCCTCTGGCCTACTTCTGTACTTCCCCAACATTTGGAGCAGGCTGACCTTGAACCCAAAGAGATCCTTCTGCCTCTGCCTGCCTAGTGCTGGGACTAAACGCATGCGCGCCCTGCCCGGGTACAAATTATTCTTGATGTAAACAAGTAAACTAATGACACTCATGTTTCCCATACTTTTCAGCCGCAACTAATGCGAGGCGCTCCTCTGAAAGCACCCGGCCCTCGGCCAAGCACCCCGAAAGCTTTACAGCCACCGCGCACCGCGGCCAGGTCTCTGCGCCTGAGCCCTCAGATCTCCGCTTGCCCCGCCGGCTGGACTCTCGGGAGCCCGGGAGGACTGTCTTACTTGCTGCTCTCCAGACTGAGGCCGTCCGTGATCCCGTAAGGACCGGGGAGACCATAGCGCCAGCACCCGCAGCGACTGCGCACGCGCACGCGCGGCCAAGTGGGCGGGGCTAGCTCCCGCTCTCGCAGGCAACCCGCGTCTTCTGCGCAGGCGCCCAGAAACCCGTCGCCTTTACACAGCCTCCTGTGGTCCTACAAAGTCACTTCCCAACCTCTGTCCCGGCTTATGGCTCTCAGCCCTTCAGATGGATTTAAAGACAAAACTGAAAGCCTGCACGGAAGTGCAGTTCTAGAGTTCACACCACCCTAGCGAATAGTGCTTGGATAAGTAGAGGAGGAAGTTCAAGGTCCAACACAAAGATGGGAACTTGACTCACCCTAACTTGATCACGTTTTTAGATGTTAATACCATATAAATATACATTATATATACATATATACATCATACACACACACACATATATACATCACTAGATACTAGTGATTTTTAAAAGTTTGGCATACCAAATAGGTGTGCCTAAGTATCGCTCCATAAATCTGTAGTTAAAAATGCCAAACATTAAACATTTAATTACATTCAACATTCTCACATTTTTTGAAAACTATTTTTATTTTTTTTAGTGAGTTCAAAATACTCAAGTCGTGTGACTTGGTTATTGAGACGGTTCCATGGCAGGGATCTGTCAGAAATTATTTTAAAGCACGGAGGGGTTGGGAAGATGGCTGGCTTCTCTTTCAGAGGACCTGGGTTCTCTCACCACCACCCACATGGCAACGAACACGTTTGTAATTCCAGTTCCAGAGTGTCTGACACATTCTTCGGGACTGTTGGCACTGGGCATGCCCATGCCATACATGCCAGCCAGCACACATACATACATACAAACATACATACTGCCAGCAAAACACACAAAATAAAAGTCCTTTATAAAATATTGAGCTTAAAAACCTTTAAACGTGACCTGTTATTAGAAAACAAAGCAAACCCAGACCCACATGCGCATTTAACTGTCTTTCACCTCCTAGGACTGGTGGGCAGGCACCACTCCTCAGCAAATCTGATGGCCGGCTTGACCTGTGCTTGACCTATAAGCAGCCTAGAAGACAGGTCTGACTTCAAGAGGATCAATTCATCTAGCCAACATGTAGGATGATAGACAGCTCTCCAGGTTTGGTTTTGGAACCAGGTAATGAAATACTTTGGTATGCTGTTTTTAAAAGATGTCATATGCTCCAGATAAGTTAACAGTCTTGAGATTGCTTGAGATGAAAATAGTCCAGAGACTAAAGGCGGGAAATAGCCATTACTCCATTCTTTTTAAAAATTTTTGTTTTATTGTTTTTTACTATTCACTTTGTATCCCGATTGTAGCCCCCTCCCCATCTCCTCCTGGTCAGCCTCCCTTCTCTCCCTCCCAACCTTCTCCTACAGTCCACTGAAAAGGGGGTGTCCTTCTCCTCTACTATCTGACCCCAGCCTATCAAGTTTCATCAGGACTGCTGCATCCTCTTCCTCTATGGTCTGGCAAGGTCACCTCCCTAAGGGGAAGTGATCAAAGAGCCAGCCACTGAGTTCATGTCAGACAGCCCCTGCTCCCCTTACTAGGGAACCCACCTGGAGACTGAGATGCCCTGGGCTACATCTGTGCAGGGGTTCTAGGTCCTGTCCATGCATGGTCCTTGGTTGATGCATCAGTCTCTGCAGGCCTCCTGGGCCCAGATTTGTTGGCTTTGTTGGTCTTGTGGAGCTCCCTGTCCCCTCCTGTTACTTCTTACACACTGCCTTTGTTTCACTTTTCAGTTAGGCAGACATTCTACCGTAGCCTATCACTACCTACTATGTCCTTGTATACCAGTGCTGTGCAATGCTGTTAAGACAGAGACGTGATTATCAGCAAGTGCAAGAGACCTCTCTACAGAGCTGGAGCTGTTAGCCTTCCCGTGTTAGACTCTCCCAAGATTCTAGCCGCCCCTTCCCATGGCTCTCCCAACCGTCTGTAAGTTTGCTCCAGCTACACACGGCCCTGGGAAGCATAAAGGGTATGTAGAGGTAGAATGATAACTGACAGGGCCAGTCCATCAATGTAGCTATGGAAACATTGCCACCCATGGTGTGTGGGGCTTTTGGTGATGTACCTGTGTGGGGGTTACCTATGCTCCTGGCTCACCAATCTTGACAGGAGTGGAATTATTCCTTTGGTCTGTTATGGATATGTACGTAATGCTTGGCTAGAATTTGTATTTTTAGGTTTCTCCTTTTCCACTGACTCACACATGATTACATATATTGTTTCCTGTTTTTCCTGCCATAGTATTTGTGGTGTTCAAATGGGAATGCCCTCATAGTCTCCTACATATGAATGTCTGGTGCCTGCTTTGGGAAGGAACAGGGGGTGTGGCCTTGTTGAAGGAGGTTGTCATTGGGAGTGGTCTTTGAGGTTTCAAAAGTCTATGCCAGGCTCAGTGCCACTCTGCCAGTGGATCAGGATATAAAGAGAAATTAAAAAATGTTATTTTTTATTTTGAGGAGTAATATAATAAAGCACCATTAATGCCATGTTGGAGCCAAGCCCTGTGCTCAAGCAGATAAAATGTTTAAAGGCCTGATTGAAAATGTAAAGAAATGCCTTATTATTACCTCAACCAGCTGTTTCCAACTTGCGAAAAGGAACTAAAGCAAAGGTTAACAGAGGAGGGTGAAGGTTCCAGACCCAGAAAGCAGATCTTGGCAGCTTGGATCATGTGGTTTTGGCTTTAGTGTCCAGAAGGTTATAGAAAAGGAATTTAAGAATCTTCCTCCACAGTTAAGAAAAGACACTGGGACTAGGCAAGGGGGACCCTGCAAGGAGGCCTGTAGAGACAAGCTATTTCTTGAAGCTGTGAAGGTGAAGCCTGGATTGCCCTGGAGACCCCAGGATGTTGGAGATGCCAGAGCTGTGGGACATCTGTCAAGAAAAGCTATAGAACCAGCTCAAGAGAGAAAATCTTGCAGTCAGCAAAGATGGAAGGGTAGAGTCATCTAAATCCTTTGCCACAGGACACAGGATTAGAGTTTGTTCTGCCAATTCTTCACTATGTCCCAACCCTTGAGGAATGGGAATGAATATTCTGTGCCACTGTATGCTGGAGTATATGATTTGCTTTTTGCTTCTGCATGGGGTTACAGTTAAGACATTTTCTTGAGTCTCAATAGACATGGACTTTAAAACAGTATTGAGACTGAAATGCTAGGAGACATTTAAAGCTGGATGGAATATTTTTGCATTATGATATTACTACAAGCCTATTGGGGCCAGGGAGTAGACTGTAGTGATTTGAATAAGAATGATTCCCATAGACTAATAAAATTTTATAAGGAAAGGGAAAATTGGTATTTAACATGTACTTACCAAGACAATTTCAAATAAGCAAGTCTAGGCATTCTATATGCCCTGGATTATTTATTGGTTAGCTGTCAAGCATACTAAGCCTTTCTAAAACACACTCGTTTGACTGAAATTTTCAGTTTAAGATTGAGCCCAGAAGCCAGGTGCAGTGGCACTCACCTGTAAAGCCAGCACGGGCTAGACGGAGGCAGGTCAGATCTCTTTTGAGTTCGAGGCCAGCCTGCTCTACAAAGTGAGTCCAGGACAGCAAAGGCAACACAAGAGAAATCCTGTATCAAACAAAAACAAAACAAACAAAAAGATTGAGCCCAGATTGGGCTGAGCCCTGATGGAGCATTCTTCTCATTTGGGCTTGTTCATGCTTGTCTCACTTGTTAACACAGCTCTGCTTCTCCACAGAACTTACTGTCCACTAGGGCACTGTGTATTTCTTCTCATGGTAACTCATCTTCTTGCAGGCTAACAAGGAACAGTTTCAGGGAGATGGCAGAGATGATGGAGTAGAAGTATTCAAGAGCCTTTAAGACTAGGCCCACAGGGAGACATGGCTCAGTAATTAAGAGCACTGGCTGCCCTTCCAGAGAACCCATATTTGATTCTCAGAATCCACATAGCCATTCACAACCATCTGTAACTCCAGCTCCTGGGAGTCAAGACACCCTCTTCTGGCCTCTGTAGGCGCTAGGCACTAGGCACACAAGAGGTGTACATGCAGGCAAACCCCCCATACACATAAAACAACTAAAACAAACAAACATCTAGGTCCAATTGGTACACTGTCATACTCAGAGGTTTTGTTTGTTTTTCCAAGACAGGGTTTCTTTGTATGGCCTTGGCTGTCCTGGATTTGCTTTGTAGACCAGGCTGGTCTCAAACTTACAGAGATCTGCCTTTCTTTGTCTCCCTGGGTGCTGGAATTACAGATGTCTGGCTGATTTTTTTTTTTTTTTTTTTTTGAGTCAGGGTCTTCGTGTATCCCAAGCTGGCTTTAAACTTACTATGTATCTAGGGATAGCCATGAACTTCTGATCCTGTCTCTAGCTTCCAAGAGCTGAGATCACAGGCGTGTGCCACCATGCCTATGCTAGGCAGGCACACTAGCAGCTGAGCTGTATTCCCAGGCCCCTACTCCCTTTTTCTATTCTTCCTGGATTGTCAGGACGTTCTCCCTGACAGCAGTTATTAAAGCTCACTGGCAAGGTCACATTTACAGGGGAAAGATCAAAATCTGGGTCTGTGTGCAATCAGTACCATTCTGTCTTCTCTTAGGGATAAGGTTTAAAAGGCTGATTTAAATCAAAGAATTTGTCCAAGCTCTTACAGCTGCAGAGCAGGGAGTTTTGAAAGCTTACACACCCTCACTGGGTCGTACTACTCACACAACACCTATATTTTCAAGGAGTTAAAAATGTAGCCCTTTGCAAAAGAAGCACGATTCTTTTTGGACTTGTCCATTTCCTACTTTGGAAACTCAGGGTCAGATACATTTGCCCAGCACTGGCACCAACAAAACATTGCCCTAGTCAGTTGGGCACTGTGACCAGACTGAATCTGGAGGGCGTACTTGAAAGTTAGTCTCCACAAGCCTCTGTGGCAGCAAGCACACACATCTTTCTCCACTCTTCTCAAAGTCAGATGGGATTTTGGACAGCACTTTCCTTTGGCTGCTGTCCTCCAACCCTGTTCTCTAGCCTTTTCATCAATTCTCTGA